ACAGCAGCAAGTTAAGATGGGGGAAAGGCTCAATTGGGATCAGCTGGGAGTTTATGCACTTTGCTTCATAACTAGTTTTAAACAAGTCTAAAGTTTTGTCTACAAAGACTCTCATTTCTCAAACCCCTCTTTCTGAGCAAGCAGAAGGGGTTACATTGTACTTGCCTTCATTTGTTTAGGCAGCTTTTTATTTTCAAAGCAAATAAAGACTCCAAAAATCTCTCACAGGCGACTCTGCTACCCCCCAGGAAGAATCTGTCATTCCCTTGCAAAGCCAGGGAGTCATTTGTAAAATTAGTGTAGTTTGAATAAGGCACTGGCTTCACACTTGTTGCTGATCTGAATGAATTCCAAAGTTTTAAAAGGGACAGATCAGCAGGACTTGCTTTTTTTCGTTTGCTTTAAAAATCAAAACTTGCAATACCTTGCATTTTATACACAGAATGTTGACTAAAGTTAAGAGTCCTCAAAGTCATCCAGTATCTTTTCTTTCCTCCTTTACCTCAAAGAGGCCCCTTCCCTTTTTCTCATCAGTAAGTTCTTCAAACACTCATATTTCATGCTTAAGTGTCTAATGTAATTCAACATCAACCCTCAGAACTCCTTTAATAAAATTTCCCCTGGTTCTAACACTTAAGTATATGAAAGGAAAAAGCCTAAATGCAACATCAAAAGCATGCACAGGTCCCACCTCTGTCTTAGATTCTTCATTTGAAGTCTTTTTGAACCTTATGCAGTTGTTTCATTTTACTCTGGCAAAAATCAAGTTGTACTTACACCTGAAAATTCTCCTTTACCCCCTACACTGTCTTTCAGCAAGAGGAGAAGAATGTGATCAAAGAGTTTTCTTCTTTGTAGGCTAATTCCTAATATAAGTCTCAAAAAGCTTTTCTTCTGGTTAGAACAGAAACTCTGCCTATAAACCCCTGATGCTGTGCATCCTTTTTCTCCCCCAAATCTGGAGCTTGTAGTAGAAGCAAATTTCTGCACCTGTAACTTTTTTAAAGTTCCAAGACCACAACACTCTCTGAAGTTCTGAACTCTTTAGTTCCAGCTGACTTGCTTAATTTTCTCCCTCAATTTCTCAGCATTTTCCTCTTTAAAATTAAGAGCTTTTGCGACAGACGAGCTTTATGCTTCCATTTAAACTTATCTCACAATAACACTGCACTCCTTAGACACACAGTATGTTTCTTGTAATTTATTCGGAGCAAAATGACAGTGGAATATGAAAAGCAACGTTACAATCACACAGACAGGTCCAATAGTAATAGAGACCACTTGAGTGAAACATCCTAGATAATTTTAGGTAGTACAAACTGTTCAGTTAAAGAAAGGGAAACTTTTCAAGCTATCATTCCAACTAACGCCATCCAGTGTTTGTGTGCTACAGCATGATGAAAATATACACTCAGAAGCTCTTAAGTAATTAGTGTATTGCCATGAGGTTTTAATCAGTAATGTTAACTAAAGCAAGAAGCAGCCTGTTCATTCAGCTCCTGGAAAAAAGCTGGAAGCGTGATGCAGTTGTTTGATACTCTCATTTTGGTTTACTTCCCAGTTTTTTTCTTTTTGTCCTGTGATCAGAGGACTGTCACATCGCTATCAATTAAAAAAAAATAATTCACATTTCAACTATTCCTCCTTTTTCTGTGGAGCAGTAAGCTTGGGGGTGACAAGTCAGAACAACTGCTTGCACTAAGTGTGCCAGATTTCCAAGAAAGGAGCAAAGTATTAAAAAAACCCTTCAGCTGAATTTAATACAGGTCTAAGGCCTGTATTAACACTCTAACACTCCTCTACATGCTTCATCAATGGTCTCAAAGCACAAAGTCAGAAGCTATGCTCTGCTCAGGTCTGCTGGACAAGCACGCTGCTACTGGTGAACGTGTTCTCAGCACAGTATACTTTGCTGTCTTCGAGATTTACTACATTTGGATTAGAACACTAAATTAGTTGCAGTTTAAGCTGCAGCAACAAGAGCTAGCCATCTGTTACAGCAGCTTTCATTCACTACCAATGCACTCCCCTCCCCCTAACCCTGCACCTAATTCCTTTACAGGAAACAAAGGCCAGTATACAGGAATGGCTTTGTTACTCTAAGTCATTCTCTATCACAGATTTACTACTAAAGGTGCTGCTTTATTTTATAGCCTAGTCTCAGTATAGGGGAGAAACACACCCTAGGGTAAAAGCAAAACCCCACTTGCAAGATTAAAGGGAACAAAATCATCATCCCCACTCAATTTATCAAGTCGAGCTTTAAAAGCATTTGCATGTGTATCTATCTTTCTCCCTACTATTCTCAGTGAGGAAGCTGGCTTCTTCCAGAACTTTATTTCAGGGACTTGACTCAAAACTTTGCAACATTATCTTGCTGCACCCAGGACAGTGGGAAAAGATATTAGTAGTCCACTTCATGAATCCCAGCATTTTTTTCGCATCTAGAAAGTGCTTAGATCATTTCTATTCAAAGTAGGCAGCTTTGGAATGGCTGCCTTGCGTTTTTAGTCAAAAATCAAGTATTTAAAAGTTTTCTGATGGGAAAAGCATTTTAACAAGCTAAACAATTCATGCTGGTTTTCAAGAAGCCACATAATCCCCCCTCCAAACCTGCCATACTTCATTGTATTTCACAAGTCCATCAACATGAGCTTTCTAACCACACACAGAAGTTACACAAGCCACACACAAGGCTGCATGAAAAATGAAATGCAGCACTACTTCAGAAAAATATTGTTAATAAGATGCCATCGATACAGTCAAACTGGTATATCAGCAGTGACAAAACACTGAAGCGAGACCAACATTAAACTATGCAGGATCCATTTGCATTTTGTATTGGATGCTGCTATCCTGAAGATGCCATGTGCCGGTCTGAATTAATCTATTTCAATGTGTGGCACCTACATGTATCTTACAATTATGCTTTCTGGATCAGCGATATGCTTTTTATTTAACAAAGCTTTACAACATTACCTGTTACCACACTAAAAAAAAGGATCCCCAAACACAGAACACTTAGAGGAGACAGAACTGGAAATCATGAACATGGAGCAAGTGCCTCCTGCCTGTTAAGTTTAGTAAGGACTTTTTGCTTCATCATCTTTTTTTCAGAAGTATAGGGAAGAGTTATAAAACATAGCTAAGCTAATTCAGTGGCTTACCACAACCTGTCCTGCTTTCCAGCTACACAGTCCTGCCTCTTCCTTTGCAATGGCCCATTAACAATATAGGAAAAGGTTGGGCATTTAGTACAGGAATCCTAGCAAAGAACAGTTACAGCCACGTTGAGAAAAAAACAACTCAAAATCCATACTCTCAAAGAGTATAGATTAAAGATATACAGGCAATTCATCTGTAGCATGTGAGTATCTCAGTATGTATTATAAACAGACACTATCAACTTGAAAAACTCTTACATGCTGTTGTTTAAAAAACAAAATATTGTTAAAACCCCCCAAATGTTATAGACACATTGTTTCTACACCCTGCTTACAGTGGTCCAGCACTACTAACATAGGCATACATCTACACATTCTAAAGCTGTTCTATTTTCTTGTTTTTCACACTGGCAAATGCATAGACAATGAAAAGAAATTGGTTAATCTTGTGAAAAACATGCTGAGGGGAACTGAAGGAACCTCCATGGTTTGTGTTATCTAAGATCAAGACATCCATACACTCAAGAACAGTGCACAAAGGAAAGCTCTGCATTGGCAGAGCAACAGCAATATATTAGGTAACACAACTATGATGTCAGACAGATGGAAAAAAGCAAGGAAATATTTAAATACCTTTTACTCTTTACCCAGGAAGCTACAGATGATCACAGTACCACAGAGGAATGCATTTGGAAACAATCTAATGTTACTTTGATCTGGTTAAGAGACCTTCAAATACCCAACCCAAGCTTGCCTAGTAACTTACTCAAATCAGATTAACTTACAGTGCCATAAGATGGTCTCCTCCACCTAGATCCAGAATAGTATTATTACACATATCAACCAACCATGTTAAACTATTGTCCAGTGTATTTTCATAGAATCATTAAGGTTGGAAGAGACCTCCAAGATCGAGTCCAACCGTCAACCCAACACCACCATGCCCACTAAACCATGTCCCTAAGCACCTCACCTACACATCTTGTAAATACTTCCAGGGATGGTGACTCAACCACTTCCCTGGGCAGCCTCTTCCAATGTTTAACCACTCTTTCATTTTGCAACAGCCGAAGGCTCCTCTAGATTAGAAAACAAGAATTTGCAGATGTACAGTGCTCAGTCACTTGGTCTTGGCTGACATCTAGTGGAGTTGGGAGCAGCACCTTCAGCTTCCAGCTTTTAAGTGTTTATGCTTCCAAGGGAGACAGAATTGCATATTTAGGACACCTCAATTTACAGTATTTATTGCAACAAACTGCAACTGTGAACATTACAGTCAGTCTAAAAAAAATGAAGATAATTTAAAAGAACTGACAACTTGGTCCTTTCCACACTTTCTAATAGACTAGGCAGAAGTTCTGTTCTATTTTTGTGCCTTCTACAGAATTCAGCAACTCAAACACTTGTCATTTTCTCTAGGACACAAGCAGGGTCACAGACAATATCACAAGGCATATATAAAGGGCTGTCAGGTCTTGCATCGCTGTTGTCACCTTTTCAGAAGGCCTTCAATCAACCAAAGTATACCAATATTCCTTTTATTTTCACTAAAAATCGCATGCTTAAAGATAAAATAAATATTGCAGGGCTTTCAGGGATTGAGGCCGTAGACGTGAACGTTGATGTGCCCACAGATCCATCCTGCTGACTTCTATTATTCAGAAACTACTAACAAAAACAGAAGGAACTTGATATTAAAGCATATGAACACCCAACCAAAGTTGAAGCAGAGAAATAAATACCATTCATATACTGTGAGCAATGACTTTCTAAAGTCACCTAAGGACTTCTGCTTAATCCCTGTTCCATCCTGGGCACTCTGAACACAAGAATTAGGCTCCTCTGCTGACACCTGTTGAAAGTTTTATTACCCTCTAGGTCCTAGATTTCCAAACTGGTAGCTGAGTTGCAAAGGAAAAAGCTGAACAGCTTCTAAAGATTAATGAGTTGTGATCCTGTATTGCTAGATAGAAAAAAAAATCTGGCCCATGTAAGGAACTTCATCAGCTTGATGCATATGTTAGCCAAAAGGAGAGGTTTCTAGAAATGTAGTATTGCTTAACATGTCAAGGCTAAGTCTGAATCACACCTTTCAGTCACAGGGCAGGAAGGCAATCTAAAAATAAGGCATGAAGGCTGGGGTCTCAAGACGCTCTGCTCCTGTAAGGAGTACTCCCATCCTTTCTAGTCAGGCATTCCACTGCCTGCTCTCATACACATACTGCCTCATGAGACAGCCAGTACCGATATGCCACCAGGAGTAGAAACACCCAAACAGAGAAACTGCTCTGCCTAGCGATCACATAACTTTAAAGAGGTTTAGGGTGCTCATGAAACTTTTCCCACACATACTGTAAAACTGTGTAGAAAGAATTTAAGGGTATGAATTTTTTTCTTTTTCCACAAGTATACACTAAAGGATAGTTCTACTATTATATGTAAAGAATAGTTTCAATGATTCCTTTAAGCTCTACACAAAACTGCTGCTGTTACAAGCTGGGAAAGTTTGCCTGTCATCCTCTGCTCCATTTAGATGGGCTGAATTTTTCTTACTCCTTCTCTCCCTCAAAAATTACTGTATCTCCTAAACTGCTGAGATCCCTTTCAAGGAGCATGACTCCAAGACAGAGTGGAGGAGGGATGGGAAGACAAAAAAAGCTTTTCAGAGTCTCCACTGGGATTCGACAGACTTCTGGAATATGCTAGGAGAAAACAGCATTTTTCAGACAGCTCGTTACATCAGTCACCTTGCAGTTCTGGTAGGCACAGAAAGCAACACTGGTGACACTGACTCAATGCAAGCATCATACGGCGAATTACAAACCATCTCATTCCTACATGTCTGTCCTTGAGTAGTCCAAGTAAAATTACTCTCCTTAGTTTCCACATTCTGACCTGCGTTTCTCCAACTCAAAAGTGGGGAAATTTTAAAATCTGAACTACTCCCTTGAAGTCAACATCTGACCCAAACAAACAAACAAACAATCTCTTGTGTGAAATGACACAAGAGATAACACATCTACTATCATTCAAGGGCATACAATCTACTTCAAAGAAGGCTGGCTTTACCAGAAGAAAGCCCATCTCAACTACACAACCATTTCCTCAGGAAAAAACTTAACACTGAAGGTAAAGACTCTCATATTTGACAGCCCGCAATTCATTTCTGTAAGCATATGACATCCTCAGGACCACTTCTTCTAGATAACATCCTGAAACCCTGGCACAGTAAAGAAAGTGGATTATTTTTCTTCACATTAAGACTTCCCTTTCAGTGAAGGGGGATGGATGCGGTGGAGGTTTGTTTTGTTTTTTAAATACAGCATTTCCATCCCATCTTTCCACGATACTCAGTTTCTGCAGACTCAAACATATGACCAGGCTGATGCACACCTACTGACTTACAGTGACTGCAGAGTTAGAGCCTATGCACTACTAATGCAGGATGGCCAAAGTTTTTCTCCAATGTGATTTGGACACCAAAATTTGCTGACATGCTACATGCTTACCCAGAATGAGACCATTCTAGTCAGCTGATATCCAGCCAACAAAGTGGGAGGCTAGAGGGCTGCTCATATTCTGACCTACATTTACTCAGCTAAAGAGCAGAATCATAGATTACATACTCTGTTCACATGTAAAACACGCCATTTTAGGTATCCAAGCCCACAACTTAATTCTGGCCTAAAAGCTATTGAGATCCCACTGGCATTTCTTTGGGCCATATCTGCCCTAGTAGTAGAAGGAGCTTTCACTTCAAGGTACAACTTACTCCTTCTGGCTTCTTGACAACTGACTTATATTGTAAGTCAAAGCTTCTTAGTGGCTACTATTTACCTTTCCCCTGTCGCTTTTGGTAGCAAAGATAGAGTCTGGATGTAAAAGTCTTGAAATCATTTGGAAAGATATTCAATCCTTAAGAGCCCTCCTCCTTCTCTCCCCTCCTCTCATATACAAAAGTACCCCCAAAGAAACAACAAATGTTAATACATTTCAGAGTATTACGACTCTGACAACTCTGACTTCCTCTCATCTTGAGATTAAATGCAATTTCATATTTAGATGCAAACATACTGCCAGAGTAAACTAGGTATTTTAGACACACAGAGAACTGGTAGAATAATCAGATTGACTATTTGAAAGATTGAGAAGAAAACAAGCGAAATCCCTCAAATATGTATGTATTCTACTTAAGAGTCATGATATGTAGGATAACTTAATTTATTCATATGGGGGAGGGGATTAACCTATTACAAAGGATTACTTTAATATTGGCTTATTTTGCTTGAATATACTACACATAACTGAAAATTGTGCTCTTCAAAAGAGACTGCTTGCCATATTCTCTAACTACATAGGCAATATTGTTCACAGAACCAAGGAAACTGGAAGTAAGGTTTAGGACAAATATGGTATCTTCCCAAGTCAGCTTCTGAGAAGAAACTCCGTTCTACTTCAGATTTAAAACTTGACTGAAGACTGAAACTATTTGACTGAGCAAAGACAGCAATCTAAATTTTTTCAGCTGGTTTGGAAAAAATGCAAGCTACTTGACAGTTCACTGGAAAAGCATTTCCATATGCAGTATTAAGCAATGCTCCAAGAAACAGTAACTGCAAAGAGATGCATATACAAACTCAGAATCAACACTGACATCACGTAATTGCTATTGCAGCAACTATGTCCTCAGTTAATCAGAGCTGAACGACATTCTCCCAGATTTGCAAACAGCAGGGCTGCACTGCAATCAGACATGTAACTGCAGACCACACACTCCTAAAACTTACTGAGGAAGCAGCAGCAGCCAGAGGAGCCATTGCTACATGAATTTCAGAATAAGCTACTGTAGCTTTGCTACAAACACAAAGACGGCCTGGTGCCTTTATACCTGCAAAAGCCATTCCTCCCAACTGCCCTGCACAGCGTACAGTATCACTGCTCTGTTTTTGTTATACATACTCACTAGTAAGACTTCCATTAAACATCTGTAATCTGCAACGCAGAACTGCTTTCTCCATCACTCTTCAAAGAAAGCCAACAAGACAGCATCAGTCACACCTGCAAATGCTATTTATTTTGGCATAAGGGACATGCAAGCTGTTCAAACTAGCAACTCTTGAAGAGTATGCAAAAATAAGAGTGAATCTTATTTATTCTCATGCTTACAGAAATTTTGTGCAACAGAGAGGGAATTGAGTTTCACCTATTTTCTGAGGAATTTTGTTCTGGGGTTAGATCAGTTTATTTTTTCAGCATAAGACCAAAATGCACAAAATACCCACTGAAAGAAAAAACAACCCAAGTGAGTTTTAGGTGGGTCATATCCAACTGTGTTTGTATGGAACCTCTGGGCACTTCCTGATCATAGAGAGAAAGTATTGTCAACACATTCATGAAAGATGGAGAACTCCTCTGCAGATGAGAAGACATGCAGGTGCATGCCACTGAAATCCATTGATTTAAACAGCCCAGTGCCTGAATTAGGAACCCAGGATCCTTCTGCAATCAGTGAAAATAGATAGGAACCTTCAAAGGTTGATCCATGAGGCCCCTAGCGATTTCCCAGGGTGACCTGAATATAGTGATGTAAAGCAGGGTTCAATTACGTACTTCGAGTCTCATGTCACTTATCCTTTCTTTCTGAATGAAGATTGCTCCCTAGTGTAAGCGTCATCAAGCAGAGATCATGAAGTGCCAAGCACACACACACACAAAAGATATTTTTCAAAGTGCTGTGCTACTTCATGCAACACCTTCTGATTTCATCTTCATCACTGCACTGCAGCTTTATCAGTCATTTATTCATATGAGGTAGCTTAGCTACAATACCTTTAAAGAACAGGAAAGAAACTGGGGTATGCATACGCATATGCTCTAGAGCATCAGAGCTGAGATGAGACCTTGGCTCAGAACCCAACCTTGAAAGCAGTGATGTAGTTCAACTTAGGCCTCCAACTTACCACATTTTTAAAGTCATCCTCTGCTTCATCAAATTTTCCTTGCTTGAGCAGTAAGTGTCCTCTCTGTAGTCTTGCCTGAAATGAAACATAAGATAATTTCTTTTGATTTACAAATTGGAATTCAGCAAAGTATGAAAATAAGCTTCAGTTTCTTTCAGCAGCAAAAAAAAAGTTTCATTTTACTACAGCTAACAAGCTGAAACAGAGATCGCTAAGAAATTAGCAGAAATAATAAATAATAAACAATCTCCACATTTAATTCTTTCACTAAGCTTTCAGTATAATAGAAGCTATGTAAAGGGACAAGTTAATGATTTAGAAGATTTTGATTTATGGTAAGAATATTTTCATACAACAATGAATTTAACCTTTGCTCCTTCATTGTAAGCTATACAGGACATGCCACTGCCCATGGGAAAGGGAGACAAGAGAATCAGATGGGGAGGATTCCAGCATCAGTCTCCAACTAGTGTGGCAGTCTCCACATATGGTAAGAAGTGAGCAAGGGTAAGCAAATGAGAACTTGCAGCAATCCCATAGGAAGGCAGTGAGATTAGGACAGTTCCTGTGGCGAAGAGATGCCTCAAATCAAATGCTGATTAAGACAGAAGAAAAACAGAGGCATCTGTGTGCTCTCTTCCCCCTCCTCGCTTTCAGAGGGCATAGCCTTGGTGACTGAGAGAACAACGACCACAAGTGAGAGAAGGAAAGTGTTTAGCACAAACCCACGAGGAACTTAATAAAACTACTATTAGTTGTTAGAATAACTGGCTAGACTGTACTCAGCATAGTTGCAAATTCAAGCACATACACCATTACTATTATTTTATCCTATTTAAAGCCTTATGAGTAAAAATGTATTCTCTATTTGTGTTTAGCAAAATCTGAAAGTCAACCTTCTTCGAAGCAGTTTTTTTTTACGCTTGAACAATTTTCAATTCCAGTAATACTTACTGATGTGAAGTCCTGCTTTAATTCAACCACTTTACTTAAATCACGAATTGCTGCTTTAGATTTGCCCATGGCTAAGTACACTGTGGCTCTTCTGTAATAAGCAATGTAGTTATCAGAGTCTCCCTCTGCAAGTGAACAAACAGCAATCAGAATACTATCTCAAAGCAACTGAAACTTTGGGTACAGCGAAAATGTAATGACTAAAAATATATTACCTGAGTTTTAAGCCACTGGAAAAAACGGTATTTATCAATAAAACATAACATTTGTAACATTATCCAAGCAATATTTTCTATGTAGTTTGATTATTCAACAATAAAGATTACAGAAACACAGTAAATGCCAAATAATTAAGAGTACTGAAGTTGAAAGATGTACATGTTTTTCAGCTTTGTACAGCCACTACATACTAATCCTTTATCTCCAACTGCAGGCCTACATTTGAAAGCATGTTAATTCATCGTTCTCCATCCCAGTCCCTGTCCATCATACAGGATGCAAACAAATAATCCCAAAGCGACCAATATGTTAGTCCAATGTCATCACAGACGCATAAACCCTTTACACCATCCACTGAAATAGTAGCAGCTTTTTTTTTTTTTTAAATATTCAAGTGGGCACCAAGACCCCCTCTCAACAGCAGACAAACACATGTACATTATCAAAACCTGAAGGCTAACTTCAAGGCCCACACATTCCATGTTGTCTGCTGGTCAAACTTCCAAGATCCAGCAATTTTAACTCTCTAGGCTAGCACATACACATACACCCTTACAGGAGACAAACATCCAGCCTCTGAAACCAAGAATTTTCTTAATATTCTTCTCTATGCAGTATTTCAAAGAAACAGATGACAGTTACTGTGGGCTCTCAAGGGAAGGTAACTTAGACCATCCAACAATCATATGCAATAGAAGACACTAAACGTTTTACTGTGCTATTAAAAGAAAATCATCAATCCAGAATTTCTAGACAAGAACATCCATATCTGAGGAACAAAACAAGTATTTCTCTTCCTCACCTCATTTGAGGTTAAAGTTGAACTTTAAAATAAATGGAACAAATAACACTGCCAAAAATCTTATGGCTGGTAACCACGCTTCATAGTTGGCCATCTCCATTACCAAAACACTAGTTCAGTTCTCACTGGAAAAGGTATCTGCACTCTTCCTCTACAATGTCTTGGCTGTGGAAATGCTAACGTCCAGCACTGAAATTTAATAATAACCCCCATGCTTGTATGCCAGCATTATGGACATAAAATAAATTCAAATGTTACTACCTTTAAAAAAAAAGGAAGTGTTAAGTCCTACTGCATACAACTAAATGTGTAGAGTAGGCACAAATCAATAGCTGAAGTTAAGGAACTTTTTTAATACACAAAGGATGAAAGATAGGAAAGAGCTAACCCAGAAAGCATGTTCCAGCACCAGATGATTATCTTTCTGACAGTCAGAATATGGTTTTGCCTCAGTTCCCCAGTAAGAGTAATGAACAGCAATCGACATTTACCCACAGAAAAAGCGTAAGCCATCAACTTGAAGGGACTGAAGCATAAGCCATCAACTTGAAGGGACTGAAGAGAGCTGGAAATCTAACTGAAGTAGGAGAAAATGGACTGTAGCTTTCTTTTATTTTAGATGTTTGCAAAAAAGAATAGGCTGGCTGAGGCAAGACAAAAAGATCTATTTCTCTCACGGTCTACAATGACACAGTACAGGCAAAAAAGGATTAGAGAAATTTCTTCTCCTCTCCTCTACAAACACAGTAGGCAAATCATGCTTAAAATCTTTTCAAAAAGGCAAAATACGAAGAAGAAAAGTCTGATGAAAGTTTAGGCAATCAGGCTCAAATCAACATCCAACTAAGAATCCCATCAAGGTCACAACGGAGGTGGTCACACCGTAGTTCTACCAGCTGCTCAAGCACTGCTGGCAAAGCAGAGGGTTTCACCCCATGCAGGCGCTTCACTGCTCCTCCCACCTCACACCACTGCTGCCTTTGCACCACCACCAGCATTTGCATGGCCACAGGCTGAACTGGACTTTTCACCAAATCCAAGTTAAAGCTTGCCAACCAATAATACAGGAATAAACCACATTGTAACACTAACTCTGCTCAGGTCCCACAGGAATGCTTTGGCAACGACGCACAAGGCAAAACAGACAGCCTCTTGGTAGAATGAGGAGCTTCCAGAGCACAGAAAAAGAGGAAGTCTCCCCCTCCACTCCTCCCTTTATATAAGGGAAGTTGATCTTGGAGAACTCATAGAAAATATTAGTAGCTCAGAATCAGCAGATATTTCATTTACCTATCACTATTAGACCAAGGCATAAATAGAAAAGTCTCAATAGTATGACTCATTACTGTGTAACACCTTGGTATTATTCTTCTCACAGAGAAAATGATGCACCTGTACACATTATAACAAAGTCCAAAAACTGAAAAAAAAAAACCCCACCTCATGCAATTGAGAAATTGTAGTGTTAATGGACACTGCTCTTTACTGGTGCTGTCTCTACACTTCAATTCAAGGATTTCAACCAGCAAAGTTGCTTTAAAATTTATAGAAGCAAACATTTAACTCCTCAGTTTGTTGAGCATGCGGAACTCCAAAACAAGAACTCACTCACTAGTTGAGTATGAGAGGGAGAGTTATACTCTTCACTACCAGTTCAGTATCTCAAACTTGTAGCATCAGTTTCACTGAGATATCACCCACTTCAAGATTTAAAAAAAAAAAAAAAAAAAAAGACTATTTTACATGTTGAATTTTTTACAGTGCTGGAGAGAAGAACGCATGGATAAACTCAACCTTTCAAATACATACTTTGAAAAACTTCATAAAGATAAAACCTAATCTTGATGGGATTAGATACAGGGAATACCTCATCGAATGATACCGCAGTCAATTATAATTGCTTCCATACAGCTAGCTTGCAGAACAGCAGTGACTTAGCATTCACATATCATGTAGTTAGTTTAACAGTTTCTTTTATCAGAACCAAAGCATAAATATTCTACTGCACCTCTGTTGGCTCCCGTCCAAACTGCTGCATAAAGGTGCCCCAACTTCTGCAATTCCGGGAATGCAATTTGCAAGAAAGCAGGATACTTAATGAAGCAAATGGGGGGGGGAACCTGACCCAAAAGTATTTCAGTGCAAGAGTCACTTTCCTGAGATACGTACCTATAGCTGCATGAAAGTGAGACAAAGCATCTGCTAACTGTCCAGCAGCCAATAACTTCTTTCCCATTTCAAGCTGTTTTTCCACTTCTGCATTGATTCCACATTCGGCTCCTTAAAGAAAAACAAAGAAATGAAGGTTTTCAATGAACAGTTTGATTATACCAAATGCATACGGTGATAGTACAATACATATAACAAACAGTTATTGATATAGAGGCAGAAGTCACATCTTCCCATACTAAAACAACCTGCAGCCTAATAAACACGCAGCATGCCTTCCCTGCCCCCAAAAGGATGTCAAAGTAAATAAACACTGTAAAGCACCACATTGTGAGAAGGCACCAAATATGTATTTCTATTCCTGCCTATACATTCAGTGACATACTTTTCCACATCATGTTTTATACATCAAGTATAAAAACAGTTTGACAAAATACATTTCTATGTGGGCTTTCAATTTCAAAAGAATCTGGAAAAACACTCATAATGTACACATAGCAAATATAAAAAGGCTCCAAGTTGAATTTCACGACCCTACTGATAACTTAGGACTCAGCTGAGAACTGTTAGCTACTGCAGAAATTGGCTTCTCATCTACCGCACTTTTGTCTTATCATTTCCAAGGCGAACTGTTTCTAGAGCGCAAGTTTTGATATAAACAATTAAAATCTTCACTCCCTTTTCATTTAACCAGTGGTATGAAAGTCATATTAAAGTGGTATGCTTTCGAAGTGCCAGTTTTAGTTTAAAGCTAATAAATTGCTGCTGCTGCTCAACCAACAGGGAAAGATTATTGTCGAGAAGAAACGAGCAGCTAAGTGCAAGTACATGCTGTACTTGTACATCAATTCAGTCACAGAGGTTTTTCATTTGTACTGCTTCCAGCATTATTCAAAGCAGGGCAGAATTTCACAACTTGCCAGTTTATGACTATTAAAACTTCCACGCTATAAACAGTTTTCTTTTACTAAGAGCATACCCTATGCATAAATTATACTACCTTGCTTAATTAAAATCCTGAATAAACACATTACATTACAAAACAATGAACTGCAATTACTAGGAATCAATTTCTTTCACTCAGGTTTTGTATCGAGCTAATTCAGATCGGCACCTTAATTAATCTTAAATACAAAAACGCAACAGCACTTTGAAGTAGTTTCTTAGAGTCTGAATGAAAATGTTACACTACACAGACTGAAGGGAAGTATATCAAAACTTCTCACACTGAAAGGTGATTAAACAAAAGTATTTGTAATGAAAGAACAATAATTTCTGATCAGCAAGTCATCAAGATTTTAGAACTAGGAGCTCTCAGCACCTGGGATCTTAATTTAATTTTCCTTTCCTACTCATTAATACAGTTCATCATTCTTTTAATTCCACATTATAAGAGAATCATTGAGCTGCCTATACTAAAATGAACAAAATGCCCTCTGTATCCACTGGAAAGAGATCTATCTGCTAAAAGATTGATAATAATTCAGCAAACTGGATTCAAAGACTTCAATTATTTGTTTTAGAGCAATGACAGCAAACAAATTCCTTTTTTATATTAATGGAAATTACTTTATAAAATAAGCCCCAAATTTCCAGCCAGTAATTTTTTTTGTTCAAATAGATGACGTTAAAATAGTAATTACTTATCATACAGTCAATTTGGGGATCTTAAATGATGCATTTTAAAATCCATTCTAGGTATATTTTATTCAGAGCTATATATAAATAGCACCACTGATAGTGGACAAGTATTTCTTGACAGTAATTTTTTCACACACAGTATTCTACTTCAAGGTAGCTTTTATGTGAATGCCCAATTTTCAGAAAAATGGACATTCTTCTTTGCCATTTTGCTTCTTCTCTAGCTTAAAGCTTTGATCACCGAGTAGTCCAATGTCCTCTAAAATGATAAAGCAAGCATTGGAGAGAAAAAGCCTCAAAACAAACAAAAGACACCTGAAAAAAAAAACACACCACAAATTTCCCCAGCTTTGGAAGTATACTAGCAACAAATTAGACATCACACCATAAACAGACTGGAGTATTTAATGTGAGCTAAAACAAACAAGCAAAAAATTCTTAAGCTTCATCCCTCCCCTCTCTCCCCACATATGAATATCTGAAATCTTTCAAAACTTGTCAGTTTGGAGTGGTATCCTAGAAGTGGGCTATAAATTACTCTTTGATGATCCTTCCATCCACCTAAACACAGCATTCAAATT